TGTACTCTGTGTATGTTAGGCCCATACTGGAGTATGCAGCACCAGTCTGGAACCCACACCTGGTCAAGCACGTCAAGAAGTTAGAGAAAGTACAAAGGTTTGCAACAAGGCTAGTCCCAGAGCTCAGGGGAATGTACGAGGAAAGGTTGAGGGAAATCGGACTGACGACACTGGAGGATAGAAGGGCCAGGGGAGACATGATAACGACATACAAGATACTGCGGGGAATAGACAAGATGGACAGAGATAGGATGTTCCAGAGAGGGGACACAGAAACAAGGGGTCACAACTGGAAGCTGAAGACTCAGACGAGTCACAGGGACGTTAGGAAGTATTTCTTCAGTCATAGAGTCGTCAGGAAGTGGAACAGCCTAGCAAGTGAAGTAGTGGAGGCAGGAACCATACATAGTTTTAAGAAGAGGTATGACAAAGCTCAGGAAACAGAGAGGGAGAGGACCTAGTAGCGATCAGTGAAGAGGCGGGGCCAGGAGCTGAGTCTCGACCCCTGCAACCACAATTAGGTGAGTACACACACACACACACACACACACACACACACACACACACACACACACACACACACACACACACACACACACACACACACACACACACACATTGTTCCTCAGAAACACTTGCACCCAGCAACTTCAAACAAAAATGATAAACAGAACAAAACCACCCAATAAGAGACGCGAGGGCCAGAGCGTGGAACACAAATGTGGATATCATGACAAAACTAAAGTGTGAAGATTAAATCAGAATATCAAAGGTACAGCCCGACACTGTAGCTCTCACAGAGGTGAAACTCGCTGGGATAATAACCACAACAATTTTTCCAGACAATTTTGTTAGCCAGAAGTAACCCTGACACCCGCCATAGAATTTGCTTCCTCTGTGAAGACAACACACAACTATTCTATCCGTGCAGGCAGTCAGCTCTCAACCTTATCTCGGAAAAGACATCGCACACCGTTACGACATAGTGATGAAGGATAGGGAAAATTGGGGAGGAGGTGGTGTGGCACTCATGGTAAGAAAAGATTCGAGTTTTGAGATGACAAACTCCTTGGAGTTTAATTTTGGTGATTTAAACTGGGCTCACACACCTGTGTACCTAAGCAAACATTCTGCACTTTATAATGGAATAACAGGTGTTGTGTTGAACTCCTGGGTAAAGTTGTGGCCGTTTTATGGTAATTTGTGGTAGCAACACACACGAAGACAGGCCTGGATTGCTTGCCATCTGTGTGGTCAGTAGTCCCATAGTATATGCAAGGATTTTAAACTAGTGACTACACTTGACTTAAACTGAGAGAGATGTTTTTGGGTCTTCCCAAACGAGATACACCTGTATGAGGGAATGACATCTATATTAAAAGACAAGAACACCAATAAAACATCCTTCTTGAAAGACATGTCAGTATGGTATGACAGCTGGGAAAAAAAGATGGGTGGTAGGGACGGGGCTGTCTTGGACAGTGCTTATGAGGGGGCTAGTGCTGCCCTGGGGGACAGTACTGAGGGTGCTAGTGTTGTCCTGGAAGAAAGTGCTCCTGAGGGTGCTAGTGCTGTCCTGGAGGTCAGTGCTGAGGGTGCTAGTGTTGTCCTGGAGGAAAGTGCTCCAGAGGGTCCTAGTGATGTCTTAGAAGATAGAGCTCGTGAGGGTACTAGTAGGTTCAAAATAGAGAAACTGCTGGAGATGGATCAAAATGGGATGATGCCTCAGGGAATAGTGTCGACACACTACCAGCAAAACCTGGTGGAAGCACTGATGTCCATACAGGGGTAAAAAAAATATTGAGGAAACAGGAAAAATAAATGCACTAGCAGTGAACGCAGCTACAATAAATCCTAGCAAACAGAAATACAATCTATGTAAATACTATGCCTTGGGTATCTGTAGGCACGGTATATCTGGTAAAACAGGTGAGACATGCACATTTGACCATCCCAAAAAATGCCGCACCCACATGACAACAGGAGAGTGCAACTTCCCTTCTTGCAACTTATTTCACCCAGAAATGTGTCACTCATCAATCCATGAAAGAAAATGCTACAATGCATACTGCCAGGCACATCATCTAAAGGGGACTAGAAGACACAGACCAGCCAGACTATGGGAAACAAAAGAGAGGAGCCACAACCTTTCCAGGGACAGAGATTTTTTAGGGCCAGAAGGGAAAAAAGACTGGCAAGAAATGATAATCCTACACCTGAAAACACTTTGGAGCAGAGGCACGGACATTGGCCTCTACCCCAGAACAACAGATATTAGAGTCGGCAAATAAAACCCCCCTAAATTCCACCAATACGACATTTGTCTTTGTAAACATATAGGATCTAAAGCCGTCAAAAAACAACAAAATTCCTTACATCAAGAGACTGCTCAGGGAGTCAAATGCAATGTTTGCAGCGTTCACAGAGACCCATAAAGGATCATTATGACAACGAAATATGGATCCCAGGTTATAACCTATTCCGATGCGACAGACTAAAC